TGCATAGGAATAAAAATATACGCCAGAAGAGTAGCAACCACTCTGACCTCGGAAGGGGGAAGGGCGCCCGTTCGTCGGCGCCCCCCCGCCCACCACCTCTCGGGGCGCGACTCGCGCTCTTGATTCGCGTTCCTGTGATAATGTGTCGGACGACCACTCAAGCGCCCCATTGCTGACCCCCCCCCTTCCCCGCCCCCCCTCGACAACTTCTCTTCGGTGGGGGGTGCCGAGGCCGAGCAGCGGCGCGATCGCGCGGCCCAGCGGCCCGCGGCGCGCAGGCTCGCCGAGAAGGGGGGCCCCACTTTCCGAGCTGATGTTGCCTAAGAAGCAACCCGTCGATGTTCTTAGGAAACGTCAGCAGAAAAGCGCACCATCTCCGCAAGCTTGTCTTCGGTCGGAACCCCAGGATCCCGTTCTTGGGAATGATGTGGAGCGGTTGCGGGAACTACGTCGCGCCCCCCGCTCGGCCGCCCGTCAATGCAAGGCGCGGCGCGGCTGAGATCCGTGGAATGGGCGTTCGACTCTCCCCGATAGGTTGCAGGGCGCCCGGCGAGGTGCAGCGCCCCCCCGCTGCCTCCACGCAGGGGGTCGCGCGTCGCGGTTGACCGCCTCGGAGCGGGGATTGCACGGCCCCCTAAGAGGGGTAGCGCGGCGACGTCTCCCCCCGCCCAGCTGCTGCGTTGATTGAATAGCCGACGCGAAACGCTGGCGGAAGAAACCAATCGGAAGGGAAAGCAAACAGAGAAACAATAGGGCCACGGGTCTTGCACAACAGTGACCGCTCAATGCGCGGCGACGCTCGACTTGTAGATTCGCGCGCCAGGGAGCGCGCGAGCCGCGTCCACGGCAGAGAATGCCCCTGCGATTTTGCGAGCGCTCGGCCGCTGCGTAGCTGCGCGGAAGCTCTATCTGCTTCCCGAGAGTGAGCGTTGCAAACTTGCAGAACAGATCATGGGCATTCCTCGACATCTCGACGCATGCGGCTCGCAGCCTCAGCATCGGCAGGTCCGCCAACATCGGGGCGATCAGGCGCCCGCGGGCCTTGCTGCGCGCGGGCTTCCGCAGTCTCGGCGGGGGGGCGCGCGTCGCTGCTGCTCTGCAGGCGGCAGCGGCAGCCTGGCCCAAATCGCCTGTCATCGGCAAACTTCGCACGCGATGCACCGCGCGGTCTTTCGCGTCTGGCCCTCTTCCGTCGCGAGAGGTGATCTCAGTATCGCATGGCAAGGTCTGCCAACGTCCAGCCCAGAAACCCTGCAGCCGCGCGGACACCTTCGCCGTCGCCTCGGCTTCTGCGTCGCCCCCGCGGCCCACGTGGAGTTCACCAGGGAGCGCGCGGTCCATAATCAGCGAGCGCCGCCAGCCCCCGGAGCCTCGGCGTCAAAGTGGCTTGCAGGGCGCACGTGGGGACTGCCTCGCGCGTCTCGCCGATGGCGAGAGGCAGGGAGTTCGGGGCCCCGTCCAGCGTCGAGGCGAAGTTCGCGAGCAGGGAGTTGATGCCCGTGCACGACTCCCTCCACGGCTGACGCACCTGAGGTCGACCACCAAGATCTGCGATGCAAAACCCTTGGCCCAGGTAGCACCACGGCGCTCGGAGTCACCTCGATGTCCGGCGAATGCACGTTGCTCTCGGTCGCACCCACCCTGCTCGGCGGAACCGCCTATGCTCGCATCCGCAGGGGGGGCCGGCCGGCGGCGCCTCCGGCCGAGGGGCAACCTCCGCCAGATGGGCCGCAGGCAAGGCTGCAAGCCCTTCAACCTGCGCTGCCTGGCCGAGAACTCGCCCCAGGCAAGATACGTGGCAATACTTGGGGCGATGAACGCGCGCCGTCGATATGCGCCCGGAATGCGCCCGCCCCCACGCGCACGCGGCGCGCGCTGCACTTCGCGTTGGCGTCACCACGCGATGGCTGCACTAAACCTCTCCGAACCCCGCTCTGCCCCCCTGATGTGCCCCTCAACTGCTCGCCCCGCGGCTTAAGGCATGTCCTCGTCGAGCGTCAAGCGTCGCGTATCTCGAAGAGCACTGCGTGTCGTCACCGCTGCCGCTGGGCAAAAAGAAAACCTGCTCTTCCAGCTCCTTCAAAATCCGCATCCGGCGGGCGACGGCGCGACGGGGGGGAGGCCCTCCGTCCCAGGCTACGGCTCCAGCTCCGCGGCCTCACCTGGCGGCGGCGTGCTGCCTCGCGAAGGCATCACGCAGCACGCGTTCCTCCCGCGCAGCCCCTGGGGCGAAGAGGTCATGGAGCACGCTCTGCGCCCGCGCAAACCCTGGCGCAGAGACATCATGGGGCACGCGCTGCGCCCGCGCAGCCGCTGGCGTGAGCAACCCGGCCCATTGCCCTCGCCCCTGGCGCGCCCCCCGCACCAGGTTGCTTCTTCGTCCTGCTGCTCCTGGTTCTGGTTCTGGTTGAGGCGCACCCAAAAGGGGCGCGTTGGTGCCGAAGCCCCGGGCAAAGGGCAGGCATACGCAGTCCCGAGTAGGGCGCTGGCAACGGGGCAAGTGCCCGGCGCGCGTGCCCGCTCCCAGAGGGGGCCGGGTGTCGCTTCATGCGAGACAGTGGTAGGGGCCCCCTGGGAGCCGCGCCTGCCACGCCACCAAATGGCGGAACGCCAGTGCGCGAGCGCAAGTGCGCGTGTTGCCAACTGGCCGCATCAAAACAGGGATCCTCGTCGTCCTCCCCCTCCCCGCCACAGCTCCACCACCACCACCACCAGCTCCCCCTCCCCGCCACAGCTCCACCTCCACCACCACCGCAGATCCTCCTCCTCCTCCTCCTCCTCCTCCTCCTCCTCCTGCTCCTCCTCCTCCTCCTCCTCCTTCACCTCCTCCTCCTCCTCCTCCTCCTCCTCCTCCTCCTCCTCCTCCTCCTCCTCCTCCTCCGTGTCAAAGTGAACACGACCCCAACATCTAGTTTGAGGACACCACAGCCCACCCCCACCCCCGCCAGGACCCCCACCCCCGACCTGGCGCACCAGGGGGTCATAGCTGGGGGTGGGGGTGGTTCGTTCGGCCCCAAAAACCCACCAGGACCACCTGGATCACCAGGCCGGGGCTGGGGATCCTGGCGGGGGTGGGGGTGGGCTGCAATATCCTCGCATTCAGAGGGGGACGCACGGGGAGGCCTGTGAGGAGACACGCAGTCTCCGATGAGCACCTCCCTCAAGCTCGCTGGGGTTCCGCAGCCGGGCAACGCAAATAATAAACGGGTGGTAAGACCCATTTGGGGGGGTTCTGCGGGCCAAGGGAACAGCCCGAACAACCCCCCTTGCTTGGGGCGTTTCGATGACGCACCCAAGCTAGAGAGAAGGGGGGCCATCCCAAGCCCTTTGCACAAGGTGTTCTGACCGGATGAAGGGAGGTTTCCTCGGCAGCCCGAAAAAGGCCTCCTGACATGTGGCGTCTTGGTGGCGCCCCTCTGTAACAGGAGAGGGGCCTCGGGGTGGTATGACCCCGTTTGGGGGGGCTGCGTTGGGCCAAGAGAACAGCCCGAACAACCCCTCTGGTCCAGTGGCGCACGGGTGACGCAACCCAAAAACTAAAGGGGCCATCGAGAGCCCCGTGTACGGGTTTGTCAACCCTCGTGGGGGGGCTTTTTCGGGCAAAAGGGAAAGCCCGAGCAACCGCCCTGGCTTTCGCGCCCTGGTGACGTAACTCAGCAGCAGAAAGGGGCCGTCTCGAGCCAATTCGCGGATTGGCTGGCGGCCCCGTTTGAGGAGCTGCTGAGGGCTAAAAACACAGCCCGGACAACCCTCACGTAGCCTCGTCTCTATCAGGGTGGTGTAGTGACCGAGACTGCGCCCGAGCATCTGCCCGAGCGTGGCGAAACTAGCGCCAGGAAGTGTCGGAACGTGCCCGAGTGTGACAGTAGGTTTGGCTCGAGGCGAACACGATTCTTAAGATTGGTGACGAATTCGTTCGCACTGCGTTTTCGGTCACGATTTCAGGCTCGTGTTCGATCAGTGGTTCGTTCAGACAGAAGCCTTGTTCGGCTGATAGGAGCTGGGCGTCATGACAACATGTCCTTAATTCCACACACACACACGGGAGGAATGTTTGACAATGCCTGTGTTGCTTGTCCACAAATGTTTTTAACAACTTCCCGCCCCGTTGTTTTGACGTTTCCGGCGCCGTTGCTTCCTGTTTTCGATTCGTGGGTGCTTTATCCAACTCGCAATTCTTTTACTGGATCCGAACTACGTTCGAACCGGTTCCGAACGTCCTTCGGATCCCTGGACTGCCCAAACCGCTTCGGTGAACCTAATTTTCGCCGTTCTCACTATCCGAGAACATGTTTTGAATACTGCTTTTAAAACAAACCAAAAAAACTACCTTTTTTGCAGGGCCCACTGAGGAACAGCCCGAACAACTCTCCTTGGCCATTCCAATCCTGGGGGTCGTGCCCGTACCCTGCCTGCCCTACGTATCGGTATCAGAGACAGGCGGTCAGAGGACGACCGGCGACCAGGGTCATTGAGAGCAACAGAAGCGAGAGAGTCGATCTTGCTGGCAAGCCAGACCTCGCACATCGGAAGGGGAAGGGGGATGAGGATCGAGATGATTGAGGAGGAGCAGGTCCTCGGTGTGCGAGTAGAAAGAGTCGATGTACGAAGGAGGGCGATCCGAGGGTCGATAGATCACTGGGAGCGCTTCGCTGCAACCGTGGAGGGCTCTGCCCAACTCGCCATCGAATGAAGCATCGGATTCCTGACGAAGGCACACAAGGAGACAGAACGCCGCTCGCAACAACTCGTTGGGAATGCGTCGTTGTACGTAGCGACTCAGACTGAGGCCAACAAAAACACCTCCCCCTTTGACATGGACCCCGTTATGGGTCGCCCAGAGAAAAGGCGGGGTCGGAGGATCGACAGAAGGAGAAGGGATGGGGTCGCCCAGAGAAGAAGAGGCGGGGGCGCGGAGGAGGAAGAGGAGGACCGATCCCCAAACCACCTAAGACCCCCCTGGCGGGCTAGATCGAGGGAGCTGCGGCAGGTTGGCGCGCCTTGCGCCCGAGGGGCACGATGTCGTAGGTGACGACCTCCACAACCCCTCCGGCGACCACCACACCGCGCTCGCGCCAGCGCTCGTTCATCTTCCGCAGTGCCTCATGTGAGGTAGCCGCTTTCGGGGGACGCGGGCATGAGCTGATAGGACTGATGAAGAGGCTGCTGAGCCACACGTGTAAGGCGGATGCAGGATGATGACACATCCAACCAGACCTCTGGGCGCAGGTGGTCTGAGAGTTCTGTTCTTCCCTGCTCCAAGCCAAGAACTTTCTTCTCATTGTTTGGAGGGGTCTATCACTGCGCCTTAGAAGTCAATCCACCGATCTGGCGTGTGAGACTCGGAGAGCGTGGACTTGAGTTCGCTCAAGCTTTGCTCTGCAAGGGGCGGGGGGGGGACGCCATTTCCGATGCATTTAGAGCTCGGGGGCGGGGGGGCACACAGGCCCCCACGAAGCCCGCAGGAGGTCCCTGAAGGCCCTCAAGAGGCCCGAAAGAGGCTTCCCCAGATCCCTTGCTCAATCCTCTGAGCCTCAGTCCTCAAGACTGAGGATTCGTAATGGGCCGGACCCCAAACTCTCAAATCTCTTGAGGTTCCCCAGGCGCTCTCTGGGGCCACCATAATGTTCCCGCAGGACTTCTTCGAGCCTAAGAGAGGCTCAAGACGGGCCAACAGGGCCACATGAGGCCCTCAAGACGGCCCAAGAAAGCCCTGAATCACAGAACGATCGGTCCAAGACGCCCAAGATGGCCCCATAGCCATTACCATGATTAAACATGTCATCATCATCACCACCATCATCATTATCATCAGTATCATCATCATCATCATCATCATCATCATCATCATCATCATCATCATCATCATCATCAGCATCATCATCATCATCATCATCACCATCACCATCACCATCACCATCACCATCATCATCATCATCATCATCATCATCATCATCATCACAATCATCATCCGGAACGCCGCGGATTGGCGGGACTGGCCAGGGGCCAGCAATCTATATATATATATATATATATAATAGAACCATCGCGCGCGCTTCGCGCGCGCTCAGGTTCTAACAGGCCCCAGGCCTTGACGAATTCACTGCTCCACTGAAGTAGTGGACCACAGTCCACGCATGCCAATCTGCATTCCGAAAAGCCTTCGAGGAAAATGGTTGTGTAGGGGGGCGGGGGCCGTATGAATCGGGTTCCCAGAAGGCCTTCTGGGAGCATTGGTTTTGGGCGTCTTGTGGAGCCTGTTGGGGCCTGCCGTCGTCGTCGTCGTCGTCGTTGTCGTTGTCGTTATGTCGACGTCGCCTATTGGGGCGCGCCGTCGTCGTCGTCGTCGTCGTCGTCGTCGTCGTCGTCGTCGTCGTCGTCGTCGTCGTCGTCGTCGTCGTCGTCGTCGTCGCGAAACGATATGCGGAGGGCCGCGAGAAGGCGATCAGTCATGTTCCCAATCAACTTCCCAGACAGCTCTCCTGTAGCATGATGGTACTTCGAAGCCTCCGGAGACTCGCGGGCCCAACCATGTCCCCGGAAGGTTTTCTGGGGGCATGATTTCTTGGGGTGTGTTGGGGGGCCTCTTGGGCGTTCCCTGGGAGCCCCTTAGGGGTCTCTTGGGGCTTCCTGGGGGCCTCTTGGGCGCCTCACGGAGCTTCGTGGGAGCCTCTTGGTGGCCTCCGGGGGCCTACAGGCGGCCTCTAGGGCCAGAGATCTCGAAATATCGGTTGGCGGTCCCCCTCTGGGCCCTCTCTTGGGGAGCTCTTGGGGCACAATTGGGTTGTCTGGGGAGCCTCCTGGGCCGTCTTGGGGCCCGCTTCGGGGCCTCCTGGCCCGTCTTGGAGCGATCAGAAGGGCCTCCGAGAGAGGCCGTGAGGGAGCGCTGGGAAGCGGGGAAAGCGAGAACGTCGAAATCCTTCAAAAACCATCGGACAATTTGTGAATCTTGCCTCTCAGGGCCCTCTTGGGGAGCCTCTTGAGTCCGTCCTGGAGCGTGTTCGAGTCCTCGTCGGCCGTCTTGAGGGCAGCTTGGGCGTCTTCGTGGCCTCTTGGGACCGTCTAGGGCCCGGGACCTCCATTAGCCTGTCGTGGCCTGCTTCGGGGCGGGCCCGGGCCGCCTCGGGACCCCTCCCTTGGGGGCCTATTGGGGCTTCCGTGGGGCCTCTTGGAGCCTCACGGGGCTTCTTGGGAGCCTCTTGATGGCGTCCGGGGGCCTCCTAAGAGCCTCTCAGGCCGGAGACCTCGAAATGTCGCGCTCTTCGGGCCCTCTTGGGTCGCTCTTGGGGCTCTCTTGGGGCGCTCTCGAGGCCCTCTTGACTTATCTGGGGGGCCTCCTGGGCAGTCCCTGGGCTTTCTTGGGAGCCTCTTCGGCCGTCTTGGAGCGATCTGAAGGGCCTCTGACGCGGTCCAGGACCGTGGGGAGGCGGAACATGGGAGAGCGCAAGAATGCTTCAAAAACCATTGGAAAATGTATGATTTTCGGCTTCTGAAGCGCTTTTGGAGGGGCCTCTGGAGGCGCTCTTGGGGCGTTTCGGCGGCGTCGTCGGCCGTCCTGAGGTCATCTTCGGCGTGTCCGGGGCCTCTGGGGGCTGTCTTGGGCGTCCTGGGAACCCGGAAATCATGTTCCCGGAGAGGCTTCGGGGAACATGATGTCGAACGAGGCCCTCTTGGGCCTCCTGAGGCCGTCTTGGGGGCCTCTTGGGCTGGCTTTGGGGCCTCTCTTGGGCCGTCTTGGGGGTTCCGTCAGCCCCACAGGCCGACCCTTTTGAGTCGTCTGGGGCCTTCTTGGGTCTCTCGTGGGCTGTCTTGGGGCTCCTCGGGGGCGTCTGGGGCACTGCGAAGACGAAGCAAGGGAGCATGCTGAAAATGGCCTCTTGAAGGCCCTCTTAGGGCCCTCTTCGGCCATCTTGAAGCCATCTCGGGCCCTCCTGGGCCTCGCTGAGGCTGCCTTGTGGGCCTCTTGGACGCCCTGGGAACCCAGAAATTATGTTCCCGGAGAGGCTTCCGGGAAAATAATGTCGAACGAGGCCCTCTTGGGCCTCCCTGAGGCCGTCTTGGGAGCCTCCTGGGGCATCTTGGGCCGTCTTGGGCAACTTCGGGGCATCTTGGGTCATCTTGGGGGGTTCCATGAGCCCCACGGGACGATCTTTTTGGGCCGTCTTGGGCCCTCTCTCTTGGGCTGCCTTGGGGCTCCTCGGGGGCGTCCAGGGCACTCTGAAGACGAAGCAACCGAGCATGCTGAAAATGTACGTTTTACGCTGGGAATGGGCCGATGCTTGCCTCTTGAAGGCCCTCTCGGGGCCCTCTTCGGCCACCTTCAAATAATCTCGGGCCTCGCTGAGGCTGTCTTGTAGGCCTCTTGGGACTCCTCGGAACCCAGAAATCATCTTCCCGGAGAAGCTTCCGGGAACATGATGTCGAACGAGGCCCTCTTGGGCCTCCCTGAGGCCGTCTTGGGGGCCTCCTGGGCCGGATTTGGGGCTTATTGGGCCGTCTCGGGGGGGTCCGTGAGCCCCACAGGCCGACTTTTTTGGGCCGTCTGGGGCCCTCTTGGGTCTTGTGGTGGGACTCCGCGGGGGCGTCTGGGGCACTGCGAAGACGACGCCAGCGAGTATGCTGAAAATGTACGTTTTACGAAGGGGAATGGGCAGATGTTTGCCTCTTGAAGGCCCTCTTGGGGCCCTCGTCGGCAATCTTCAAGCCATCTCGGGCCCTCTTGGGCGTCTTCGGGGCCTCTTGAGGCTTTCTTGACCATCTGTACGGCCCGCGTGGCCTGTCGTGGGCAATTTGGAAGCGGCCCGGGGCAGTCCCTGGGGGTCTGTGACCCCCCAAAGGTTCGGGGGGGCGCTCATGGGGAATGATGGCACCGACTTTGGCCGCCCCCCCGGCCTACTCCGATATATATATAATATATATATATATTAATATATATGTATATGTATGTATATATATATATATATATATATGTAAGTGTATATATACACACACACACCTACGACCGCCCTGCGGGCGATAATGAAGGGTGTTGGGGGTAATTGAGATCAAATGCCCACCCTGATTGACCTCCAGCATGTCACCTTGATCTCATCTCTCTCTTTCTCTGTCTCTCTCTCTCTCTCTCTTTCACTCTCTGTGTGTCTCTCTCTCTCTCTCTATCGCCCTCTCTCTCTCTTTTTCTCTCCCTCTCTATCGGAGTCTCCCTCCACCACAATGGTGATCGCGATGACAGTGAGATCCCACTATCTACCTATCCGTCGACCGACCTATCGGTGAATCACACTGTCGATCTCACTATCGACCTCAGAAACGACACGAGAAAGCCCGCCGCAGGCGCCGAATGACTATTTGTTGTCGAACAAGACAACCATCGGCACAACCACCAGAAAACCATCAGGACAACCACAAGACAACCACAATCACAAAACAACCACGCCGGGGCGCCCGGGACACCCGGGACACCGCCCGGCCAAACTGGGACACCTCCCGGCCACCGGCGGACGGGAAACGGACTTTCGGCGGGGATGGACGAAGGGGCGGCAGGCGTCAGGGAAAGGGTGGAATCCCACCAGACCTCTAGGGCGTGAGTGGTCGAAGGAGCTCGGTCTGTTAACCCTAGCCTCATTCTCCACCTTCTAGGAGGGCCCCCCCCCTCCCCCATAAACCCTTCCTCGGTCTGGGGGAGGCTTTCTGCAAGGCGTTGGGGCGTCCAGGATGGCCCAAGGTGGCCCCAACAGGGCTTCAGGGAACCCAAGATGGCCTCCAAGATCGCCCAAGGATGGTTCGATAGGGCTGCCACCATGATCCCAAGAGGCCTCATGACCGCTCCATTCGACCCCAAGTGGACACATGTCCCCCCAAGGAGGACCACCAAGGAGGAACCATGTGATGTTCAATGAGTGGTATCTTCTCGCATTATCGCTCGCAGTGGGCTCTCGAAGCCTCGAGATGGCCCCAAAATGACCCAAGAGGACGCCACTAGGGGGACCCGAAAAGGGGCCCAATACTGCCCCGAGAGCGCACAATAGCGCCCCAAAAGCGACCCACTGGGGGCCCGAATATGCATATTTCGGGGGCCCTATGGGACGGGGAGGGCGCGCGC